ATATCGTAAATTTACAATAAGAAAGAGATAAAAATAGATTTTTAAAAAATAGCTTATAAGTTAGTAAGATAGATAAAATGATTGATAAAAAAATCCAGCAACGAGTCGTGTAACTTTCCTCGGTGTTATGAGATTGTTTCAAAAAATAAATTTTATATTATTAACCATAATAAATAAAATTATATATGGCGCCATCTGATATGAGATTTTTATTATAAAATGTTAAAAAGCTTGACTGTGAAACCTTATAAAAATTATAAATTTTAATAATTTGCATTCATTAAGTAAAATTTTCATTAAGTCAGACCTTTCTCAAGATATGACACATAACCCCTCTATCTCCCCTCACCTCAACCTTTAACCACCAAAATTTAATAGCATCGATGCCCTCTGCAGACAAATTACCATGCCAAATTTCGTTCCTTCATCATTACCCTATCCCGAGATATTAAACGAAATAGATACCAACACACAAATATCCATAATTTTTCCCTCCTATTTTTTGACATGTTTGGTTTTCAGGACGTCTCAACTTCGAGGACCAAGATTGACACGATCCCTATACTTTCCGGGATGTTATGTATACATAACATCCTGGAAAGTAAAACAGCCTTCCTATTGTTCAGTCTTCAATGTACAGTAATTGAAACTGTTCATTTGCATAAACTTATATGTATGTACTGTATCTTGTATTTACTTAAATAGCAATATTTGAAGCAATATTTTAATTGAAATTAATAAGTATTATATTACTGAAGAAATATTCTGTTATTTATCAGTCTTAATTAATTTAAATTTTGTTATAAATTATTTATTATTAGATGTAATAAGATTTTTTAATGAATTAATATTATAGAAATATATGTGACTAGCAGACCCCGCCACGCGTTGTTGTGGCTCAAAATGTATCTATTATAAATTTATAACACTTCCCCGTGGGAAGGGGAAATTTTTCGAAAAATTTCTTCTTAGTGTACATTCTGTTGACGTACCCTATTAAAACGCAAAAAACCGCATCTAAAATAGTATAAATAGAAGCAGAGTTCTTTACGGTAAGCCTTAATCCTAACCATTTCCCTTCAGTGGGGGGAATTTCGACACGTATGTTATATAAAAACACATGCGTATTCGAATGCAGNGTCTGTCGAAACCCTAAATTTTTCTGGTTCGTCTGTCGAAACCCTAAATTTTTCTGGTTCGTCTGTCGAAACCCTAAATTTTTCTGGTTCGTCTGTCGAAACCCTAAATTTTTCTGGTTCGTCTGTCGAAACCCTAAATTTTTCTGGTTCGTCTGTCGAAACCCTAAATTTTTCTGGTTCGTCTGTCGAAACCCTAAATTTTTCTGGTTCGTCTGTCGAAACCCTAAATTTTTCTGGTTCGTCTGTCGAAACCCTAAATTTTTCTGGTTCGTCTGTCGAAACCCTAAATTTTTCTGGTTCGTCTGTCGAAACCCTAAATTTTTCTGGTTCGTCTGTCGAAACCCTAAATTTTTCTGGTTCGTCTGTCGAAACCCTAAATTTTTCTGGTTCGTCTGTCGAAACCCTAAATTTTTCTGGTTCGTCTGTCGAAACCCTAAATTTTTCTGGTTCGTCTGTCGAAACCCTAAATTTTTCTGGTTCGTCTGTCGAAACCCTAAATTTTTCTGGTTCGTCTGTCGAAACCCTAAATTTTTCTGGTTCGTCTGTCGAAACCCTAAATTTTTCTGGTTCGTCTGTCGAAACCCTAAATTTTTCTGGTTCGTCTGTCGAAACCCTAAATTTTTCTGGTTCGTCTGTCGAAACCCTAAATTTTTCTGGTTCGTCTGTCGAAACCCTAAATTTTTCTGGTTCGTCTGTCGAAACCCTAAATTTTTCTGGTTCGTCTGTCGAAACCCTAAATTTTTCTGGTTCGTCTGTCGAAACCCTAAATTTTTCTGGTTCGTCTGTCGAAACCCTAAATTTTTCTGGTTCGTCTGTCGAAACCCTAAATTTTTCTGGTTCGTCTGTCGAAACCCTAAATTTTTCTGGTTCGTCTGTCGAAACCCTAAATTTTTCTGGTTCGTCTGTCGAAACCCTAAATTTTTCTGGTTCGTCTGTCGAAACCCTAAATTTTTCTGGTTCGTCTGTCGAAACCCTAAATTTTTCTGGTTCGTCTGTCGAAACCCTAAATTTTTCTGGTTCGTCTGTCGAAACCCTAAATTTTTCTGGTTCGTCTGTCGAAACCCTAAATTTTTCTGGTTCGTCTGTCGAAACCCTAAATTTTTCTGGTTCGTCTGTCGAAACCCTAAATTTTTCTGGTTCGTCTGTCGAAACCCTAAATTTTTCTGGTTCGTCTGTCGAAACCCTAAATTTTTCTGGTTCGTCTGTCGAAACCCTAAATTTTTCTGGTTCGTCTGTCGAAACCCTAAATTTTTCTGGTTCGTCTGTCGAAACCCTAAATTTTTCTGGTTCGTCTGTCGAAACCCTAAATTTTTCTGGTTCGTCTGTCGAAACCCTAAATTTTTCTGGTTCATCTGTCGATACCCTAAATTTTCCTGGTTCTTCTGTCGAATCCGTAAACGATTCTGTTGTCGATTTCTTGTATATCCCTGTTATTTCTGTCTCTTCTGTCACATCTGAACCAGTATTAGTTATAAATCTACCAGTAAATTCTGGTTTATCATAAAGTATAGTATCCACAATAATAGGAATGTAACTTTCTCTTTTCTGAAAACTCTTCGCATTTGTTCCTGTTAACAAAAACAAGCATAGAAGCGAGACAAACTGTAAAGAAACCATTTTTTGCTATTAACAATAGTGTGAAAATCTTTATATATATATATATACATATATACATTCTGTAATTTGGTGATTCAATTTTTACAAATATGCTTTGGCATGCTGATTAATAAAAATTGATTTTTCTTTTTAGGTTAACTATGAAATATAATTCTTTAAATTTCCGAGTTTGTTAATTATTTAGCAAGTTTTCTAAAGTCATTTATAAAATAAAAATAAAATATACTGCTACTGAAACAATTTCTGTTTAAAGTGGTGATTTTTATTACGAAATAATTTGTATGGATTTAAACAAAGTTAACCTAATAACTTAAAAAATTAACTGCCCATAAATTATTTTAAAATAATTATATAAATTTTGTATCTATTCTGATAAAAACATTAATCTCAGACAGAAAGTAGGTTTAGACCAGAATAGCGACTTTTTTTATATTTCTTTTGCATCAAAATTAAATGTTTTAATCTGTTACTTTTCAGATTGTTTTCTTATTGCATAAGTTTATTTAGGTTTCAGTTCAGGCTCAATATATACTTTCTGTTTATCTTAAAGTTTCCCTGGTTGGTCAGATTTTAGTATAGAATTACGGAAAAGCCAATCGGAGACTCCAATCAAGATATGGGATGGAATATGGGATGAAATACATATACATCCTTCGTTGGTACCTCGATTTTTACAAATCCATTAATTAATCAAAGTGTTTATGTTTCAATGAGATAAAGATAATTTTATTATAAGAATATATACTTGTTCTTTAAAAAGTTTATAATATTATAGAGTCTAAAATATTTTAATTGTTCGAAAATGCTATAGTACGTTAATATAGACTATTAATCCAAGCAAAAACATCTGAGATGTAAAAAAGTTGCGCCAAGTAAAATCTTATGACAATTTAGACCACGGTCAAATTTTTTCTTAGGAGTCTTTCTTTGGTAAAGATAAGCTTGGCGCTTAGAAGCGGTACCCATAAGTGTGAGAGCCGGATGAGATGGAAATTTTATTTAACCACAACACTTAAATTTCTCATATTATATAAAGAAAAAATTTTCCCAATACTTAATTTTAAAAAAATGGAAGGATATGATCGCATCTCTCCCGGATTTACTTCCTTTCCAAAGGTGACACATCTTTCCGAGTGCATGTGTCACTAAGAACTTTCATCCGAAATTCATCTATTGGTCATAAACCTTAACATTGACTAAAAAGGGCATCGAAATCAAGGGAAAGAACCTCGAAATAAGAGACGAACATCTGAACCGAGAATTCGCCGACCTCCTCCTTTTGATGTGAGAGCTCCATCGCCGATCCCTTCGACCGCCGTAGACGCCTTAGCAACGAACATTTGTCAGTGAATTGTACCATCAAGGAGCCTAACTCTACCCAACCTAGCTGAAACCTAGCTCTCCATCATTAGGACGTTTTGAGACCTCAGGACTTCGATCAAGGACTGATCAAGGTATTTAGCATTACGCAAAAATGTAAGCTCTCTCTCTCGGCTAGGAACCCCTAGGAAGGCCATATCAGGACTCTCTGTTATCCTATATATACATGTGAATAGTTGATATTATTTCTTAATAATTAATTAAGTTGTAGTGCGCACTTCTTTCGGCGCGTTGTCTCTCAGACGTCCAATCTCCCGAATCAGACCGCTCATATAAGCGACCGCTCGCGCAAAACCGAACCCGCAACAAACAAGGTTTCTGTGTCTGCCTTAAAAGACACGGTGGTGTGAGTCCTGACATAGGCATCACCGGTCTAGTGCCGACCCTTTGATCTCATAAGATTTGTACCTGTATTATTGTTTTCTACATTTTATCCTCCAAGCGCCAAGCTTATCTTTACCAAAGAAAAACTCCTAAAATAAATTTGACCGTGGTCTAAATTGTCATAAGTTTTTACTTGGCGCAATTTTTTTACATCTCAGATATTTTTGTTTGAATATCAATTCTTTTGTTTAATAACTGTATTATTACATCAAGATATAAGACGATGGATGAGCACAGTCTTGTCGGCGCTCGGCGACTTAACGCCCCGCCGATCAAATATGCTGCCAACCGAACGCTTTCGCATTCGGCGCGCCGTTTAGAAAAATCGTTATAAAAAGTTTTAATTTGCAAAAATTTGTGCTTTTGTTATTCTGAGTAACATTTTGAATAAAATTCATTTCTTTCCATGTAATTTTATCTTTATAAGCATAAAATGAAGCCATAAAATTAAAATATCTCTACGAGAAACCCCCGAGAACTTTGATCTATCGACCCGGAAGTTTTGCTAATTAGCCCTTCACTGATGACGAGAAAGGCTTAAGTTTAAAATGTCAGCTTTCTAGTAGCTTTTTCTAACGAATTCGTTAATCTGGCAACACTGTAGGATTTCAGTAATGGCGGCTCCTATGATTTTGTTTATCTTTGTTAAGTTTTTTCATTAGCTAATTATTGTTAGAAAGATGGATAAATATTTGATTAAATCCAGATCGGAGACGTCCCAATCTTACCATTCTAACGAGAAAAAGACGAAGCAGGCAACATTGGAATCGTTAAAGGTTTTTTGAAATTCATATTTATGTTAATGAAAATAAGAGCTTAATATTAATGTATAGAAATTGAATTGATTGTCATTACAGGGAGTTGTGGTAATTGAAGACATTTTACGGCATAAAGCAATTTTAGAGTGGAAGAATCAAGAAGTGGAAAATATGTTGAGGTCGTTGGAGGAATTATCAAAAAAGACTCCATCTAAAGAAATTCTCATTTCTACAAAAATTGGTATTTCGCTCTATCGACATTTTATATAAATAATTTAAACAACTTCATAAATAAGTTGGATATTCCAGACTATTTATCTATTTTGAGTTATTTAATACATTACATTAAAAATTAATTCAGTTATTATAATTGACATATATTTAATCCTTCTATATGTGATGTATTTATGAATTTACATTCTTTTCTTATATGATGTATGTGGTGTTTTAGTTATAATCATGCTTATAATTGTTTCACAACTTTCAACTAAATTTATTGCTTTAATTTGATGACTTTCCAGAATTTTGACACAAATTATTAAAGCAATTTATAATTATTCAGGATATTCAACTTTAAAAATTGCTTATTGTTTTTTTTTTCAATGTGAAAATCATCTTTTTACTGTAAAAATACTATAAACATATGAAATATTTATAAAATCAATTTTTTAGTTTTTATTGTTGTAGATAGTACGTGTTGTTAGCGAAAATAAAGTCTAGATATAAGTTATGGTTTAGACTAATTGTTGTCCTGATCTAATCTAACATTTTTGATACAAATAGTAATAGTAAAGAATTTAAATTTTCTTAATTCAAACCAAATAACCGGAGCAAAACATATTTCTTTAGTGCTAACGTTTTTGACGCCCCTTCTGGACTCTTTTTTAGTCATTTACTTAAATCTGTTGCAAGCTGGTCTTTAAACTTCTTTAGAAGTCATTTGATTTTGTATTCCAAAAGCACACACATTCCAATTTGTTAAAAGATCATATACTACTTTGAGATTCAAAATGCGAACTGATTTTAATTTAAAACATTATAAACATAAATAAAATTAAATATCATCATCCATTAGGACTTGCCATGCTGTAGAAAGTGACATTTCCTCCTTAAAATCAATGCATGTGGATTCGCATCCCGCCTTAAATATTTCTATTGCCTCCAATATTTTGAGGTGATCTGGATGCATGGTGGTGAGGATGATACGTGTATCATTAAAGTTGGCTGTAATGTCTGGGTCCATCGCATAAGTCAAAAGGGCCGTTGTGCATTTATTGTGTAGTATGTTTGACTGATGCTCCTTTAATCATACCACTAAAGATCTTTTGGTTGAACCAACATATATCATTTCTCTATCAGATCTGCCATTCCTTATTGAGACCTTGTAGATCCCCAGTAATCTGTCCGGATTTGGATGGTCTTTTCCATTCCTTTGTAAGCTGTAAATGGACGGGCATCTCCTGTACACTATATGGATCTCATGTTTCCTTGCAATGACATTATATATTGATTTTAAATGTGGGTTATATGTGATGGGGGACCCTCATCCTGTCATCATCCTTTCTATTATTCGGTCTTTCCCCTGACTAGTCGTTACTTCTTGCTTTATGTTTGTAGCTTTTACACAACTTATGTATATAGAAGAGATAGCCATGTTCAATGGTTATCTCTTCTATATTTTTTATTTCTTATGATAACACCTATGTGGTGGAAGTGTGTGAATGCTCTCATAACCAATGCCCTGAAAGCAGCTATTTTATAAGAAAAGGGATCACATGATCCTATTGGAATATACATTGTGACCGCAGTTGGTTTTCTATACACAGCTGTTTGTGTGTTTGATCCCTCAATTACAATGTCTATATCCAAAAAGGGGACTCTGGACTGTGTTGTTCAATCTCAACAAATAGTCCATAGGGATTGTTATTCATTACCTGTATAAAGCTTTTAAGATCCTGCCTCCTCCTCCAAAAGACAATTATATCATCAATGTATCTCCTATATAGGAGAATATTTGGGAGGAAATTAGGTAGGGTTCTGCTTTTCAACATTCTGACCACCATTTCTCAGAGGTCTCAGGATAATGGACTGCCCATAGGGACACCCCTATTCTGAGTGTACACCATCTCTTTAAACTGGAATGCCAAACTATAACACACCAAGTGCGCCAATTCTAATATATCCTGGTGCTTTGTTCTATCTCCTATTTTTTCAAACAATAAGTCACTTCGCACAAAAACATGGTGGAAGCTCTATTGATGGATATAATGATCTAAAGTCCAACACTGTAGCATACAAGGGGGAGGCGATCTATTTAAGTTGTTCCAACAGCTCTACAGGGTTAGATATCTTGTATTGGTAACATTCCAAGTGAGTGGCAAGTATGTATAGAGAGTGTATAGATTTCTCTAATTTATGAGTGGGTGCTGTAGCTTTGTTCACTACAGGATGCAGTTTTTGCCCTTCCTTATGCATCTTGGCAAAGGCAAATAGTTTAGGGATGTCAGGAGCCTCCATGATTATGTCTCATACCCAGCCTGATGGCAAGCTTTGTATTGGCAAAATATTTAATCCTTGAATGCATCTTATCCACCCAGTTCCCTTCAACCTCTGAGCATTGTGTTATAGTGAGGTGCTTGTCATAGGTTTCACATTTCATCATAACCATGAGTTTGACCTTCTCAGCCCTGACCAACAGGTTAGGGCTGAGAAGGTCAAACTCAATGTTGTTGTATCTAATCCATCCATAGTTCTCCTTAACTCAGAGCTTGAAGGGAACTGGGTGGATAAGATGCATTCAAGGATTAAGCATTTTGCCAATGCAAAGCTTGCCATTGGGCTGAGTATGAAGGACTTATATAATCATGGAGTCTCCTGACATACCTAAATTATTCACCTTTGCCAAGACGCATAGGAAGAGCAACAACTGCATTATAGTTATATCTTATTACTTTTTAGTGATTTAATATTTACACATGTTACATATTAATATATACTTTACATTAAAACAAAAAGTATATGAAATTCAAAAGAATGTTTTTATTTTAAATTTATTAATTCATATTATAGTTATGTGGAATACCATGTAAATATTCTGTTATATTTTCTCTACCATTTACTTCAAAAGAATTTATTTTTAAAGAACTTACCATGATTTTAATCAAAACTTCATTAAGAAACTTCAGACTATGAGGCGTTAAATAAAATTAGAAGAAATATTTTCTTCTCACCTAACAAGATGAGTAACAGAATTACCATGATTTTAAAATAAATATGTATAAGAGCAAATCATTTTAAGAAATGAGTTAAAGTATTTCTAAATTTCTTAGCATATGCTTTCTTCTTTGACAATTTATCATTCATGCATTTTGTGCATATTCAATCTATTATTTTGTCACTAAGATGTCCAGTGCCCACTTGATCATTGCCCTCTTAACCGTCACCCAGTTGAGTATGGCCATATATATACACAGTATGATACACCACATGTCTAAGCAACAATATTGTTATGTTATATAAATAGCATATTTATATAATTGATATTGAAATAAAATATATATTATAATCTATCTATAGGTCATCTTGTTCACAAGCTTTGTAAGCATACAAATTCAGAAGTGTCTGAAAAAGCTAAACATTTATATGAAGATTGGAAAACCCATATTTTGAGTAAAATGAACAAGCCAAGTATAGAAGTACGTAGTGATATTCAAACAGAAAAATTTCGTGAAGTGGCAAAAAGATTACTTGCTGAATCTCTAAATAAAAAAGTGAGTTCAAAAATTTTTATTTTAGAACTATATCATATATTTTTTTAGTTAAATTTATTT